TTTCATCTTTACCATACAAGGATATATCATTCCTCCATGACTCTATGCACACTTTTACTTTCTATATTTAAGTAAAATTTCTCGTTCTCTTGACATTAAAATATGGTATAGAAAAAGATGAGAATGCATACACGAGTAACAATTAGATAATTATAAGTTAAATGAGAGATGTTATATAGACCATGGCACTAATATATTCAGAAAGAAGAGTGACAAGACGCTGTAACATGGCTGACCTGTATTTCGGGCAGAGAGACTGTTATATCAAAACCTGAGATAGAACCACTGCCAACCCAAGCCTGATTTATGTGCATGGGACTAATCACATCCCTTGCCATGGGCTGCTCAACTGCCACAAAAGCGCTCAACTCTTTTAAGATGTAGTTTTGAGGACTTAAATGCAAGACTTGAGTTTTCAAATTATCCGCATGAGATTCCTTTTGGGAGACAGAAGTGCTTGAGCAACTTGCACTATCAACTGAATGAATCCTATCCCTATGCTCAAATTCTATAGTGGAATTTCCATCTGTAGACTGACCAGACAAACCACTAGTCATGACAGAAGAAACGTGAGGAGTTTGAATTTCCTTGGTTCGTTGTTCCATGGTTTCACGGAGGACTTGTGAAAGAATCGACAGTTTCAAAATATCAAATGAGAATTTTCTTCTCATGTTTGCCACTTCAAGGCTCAAATGAATATCAGCCTCAAACAGAAGTTCCTGAAGCTTGCCTGCACGAGAGTTGAACGCTCAATGACATTTGGCAGGATTCTATAACATACAACAACAAAAAAGGAAAGTTGTTACCAGATTCATCGCTGGTCACAAGTACAAAAGAAAGGTGAGAAAGATCAATGGTCAATGCTACCAACTGCTCCCACTTTACTTCTTGAAGTATATTTTTTGTTGTTTCTTGAGTGGGATAGTTACCCATCGTAGCGAGATCCTTGCCATGTACGGCCACTATGCCTTCCCCAGATGATGGTGCAACAAAAAGAAGATTATTGATGCATTGACAATACGCAGTAAAACAATGTACAAATATTACCAATGCTGTGGTTTCAAGGAATATAACCCCACCCTGTCCAATAGCATAGCATAGATGTCAATCTCATGATATAATTGAGGATTCTGATTTTTTTTTTATCACAGTAAGAATACTGTAGAACTAAAATTTGGAGCCACAAGTAATCAAATGCATGAGAAGTGGTATTCAAGGTTAATTTGAGAGCAATCGTTAAACTGCAGTGACAAGGATAATGTCAAATTTTCTCTAATTTAAAAAGTCAGCACCTGAGTTTGGCACGAGATTGCCTGAAATTGTCGCCCAACAGAAAGTGATGCATCAAGCTTATTCAAATTATGTGCTCCAACCAGAATATTCTTTTCGGGGCAACCTGCTAGATAAACTTCACTCAGGGCAATGTTGACATGTAACCAATGACTTGAGGGTGGAGCTAGTATATTTGATGTGAATCCCAATTTCTGACCAAAACTGAAAGATTGAACCCCATATCTTTCGGTATCAACTGTCCGTGGGGAATCCTCTACCATGTGCGAAACTTTACCACCAGAAGTAGAAGCATCAACCCCATTGCTCACACTTCCAGAAGGTTCCTGAAGCAATCCTAACCACAAGGAAAATGTGCAACGAGGAATAGACACTTCATACAAGCAATTGAGAGAATGCAGCAGCAGATTTTCAAGTCGAAATTGATCGGGTGCAAATTCACCAGAGCTTTTCGCCACCTCACTCACAAATCTAAAAACAACAGACCGAACTTCAGAAACATCAATAAGAACTTCCACTTTCCCATCTTTAAAGGAAAAGTCCATAAATGATTGTTGAACCAAAATGCAAATTCCATAATCAGGTAGATCATGCATGGCCAATTTTTTGCTTCTCACGCCATCAACCGTTTTCACATAATCCTCAATATTATAGGTTTTCCTGGAGTTATGAAGAACTATATCCAACGACTTCAGCTCAGAAATGTTGTTAGCAACAAATATAGTGTTCATATAGATCGAGGATGCCCCTTGTGTTCCACCAAGCAATGACCCCTCACTTTCCACATCAACAAACACCACCTCTTGCCTGATTAATTCTTGACAATTTACAACACCAGCTAAATCAAACGTGGTAAACGGATGTGAAACAGCAGAACATAACCCAAAAACTGCCTGCTACAAAGAGAAATTTCAAGCCATAGAATGCATGAAATTAAGTTTGATGCATTCATAAATTAAGAAAATAACACCCCACCACCTCTGATCTCATAAACATGTACAAGGATCTCAAAGAAGTGCACACATAAAACAAGTGGACAGGGTTAGTTCGGACTGGTCCTGGACTGAACTACTCAAACAGAATTGGGCCAACCTTATTGGGCTTTACTAAATTAAACAAAATTAGGATTAGATAGCCACCAAAGGAAGATGCCAAGCAGGGATAGTTAATCCTATCCCTATAGCCAAACACCATCGTCTTCTTCACCAGTTCAAATCATGACCACCAAAATGCGCCGCCGGTGACCACAATACAAAAGAACGATTTCAACCCACAACGCGGCAACTCACTCCCAGCTAACAACAATCAATGGGACCCAACCAGAAATCCACAACACTCGATCACAATATCCACTGCGCACAATGACAAGCAGACCTTCAATGACCCACCTCACCGGCGACACATGGAAACAAGCCCAGGAAGAACTTAACACCCAGCCATCAATAATAATTCTTCAACAGATCTGAAAATGTGACAGACCTCAGAATCCGAAGATCCTCACACACTGATGCAGGAAAAGAAAGATGAAAGAAAGAAATAAGGAAGATTAGAGAAGAAGAGAATATCAGGGTGGCTCTGATATATGAAAGAATTAGGATTTGAAGAGAGGAGAACACTGAAGGCAGAGAACCTACAGCCCACACTCATCCATGTATATATATTTGTAAAAACAAAGGACTAATATACCCCTTAAGATATATATTTATTACAAGTCTACCACTCTCCTATATATGCTAACAATTTTATTTGAATGTAACAACTAACTTACTAGCATATATATCATGAGGACTTAAAATTCTATACACAACAGTCAGCATAAAAAATCATGTCTTGCAATCATATTATGTAGTTGAGATAATGAACCACTAAGTTGTTGGATGTAAATTATACTAGTCAAATCAAAGACACAGCACCCTAACAGGTCACGACAGCAGTAAGAGAGTCCTGACTCACAGAATCAATGATAAGCAATAATACTCTGACAGATCTTCTTGTGCAGAGCTATGCCAAAAATCCCAACTGGTTTGTTACTCACAACAAATAAGTTCTACCCATGGAGACACACTTCAATGCAAACTTCCAGATTCAAAATTCAGGCTAAGAAAAATCAAGATACCCTGGCCACAAACCATTTGTTAACAATCTGGCACTTCATGTAGGACCATCAACACTAATAATATTCACCCCATAAATATTATGCTAAGACAAGAAAAAAAAAAATAAGGGAGACAAATATTTTCTCCAGGAGTCAGTCGAGTAGTTCAAGGTTTTCCAGCTATCAGTTACACTCGAGGATAGCTCAAGCTAAACTTAAAACTACAATAGGTGCTATAGTGTAGTTCATAGTTTTGCAATGTGTCGGTTAATGGATCACTGCTCCACTTGCATATGATAAGCAAAATGGCTTTGAAGGTTGACTCAGCAATTTGGTAAAGGAAGACCACCTCGACTGGCTTGCAAAACAGTCGAGCTCGCTCATCATTCAAAACAATGCTATTGAAAATATAAGGCAACAAAAATAGGAGAATTACCTCGACCAAAACAAACAACTCATCCAGAAATAGTAATATAGTGATTCCAGTAGCCATCGAATGCAAAGCTGCAGAGATAGCAACAACTGTTGCACCAAATGAATGAAGATCCTCCCTGCCATAGAAACAATCTAATTTCACTATTACGACAAGAAGAGCCACAGTGTGTGTTTGTCCCCCCACCTCTCTCTAAGCAACCCGGGAAACTCAAACCAGTAAATTATAGAATGCATGCATTGACAAACTGACTAGTAAACTTGAACTAGTAAATAACAGAACAAATAGACAAATATCAACAGAGGTGAACATTAACATTTGAACCAATACACTTGTAGAACAATGTGATTTATAATAATCAGCAGTAAAGAAGAACAATGACTTGCTACTAGCTTGTGTTACAAAAGTTGCAAAATAATAAGAGAAGAGAAATGAAATCAGAAGGCCAGAATGTGACCTTAAGAGTGATAACTTTACAGTTGTCGGATTCAGTACAATAATCTCGTCCTTTTGATTTGCCGATATTTCCCCAAGGAAAGCATTCAAACCCTGAACTTTCAGGTAAGCATTGAGTGAAATCTGACTTCGACCATTGTAAAATTTACTATCAGGTAAAGGAATGTCAAGCTTCTGAGGCTCCTTCAGCCAAAGGCACTCTGGTTCTGTATTATTTACTGCTGTGTACCCAGCTAATGCTGCAAAGTCAGATCTCGAAGTTGGTGAAACAACAAATTCAACATTGTGAACATCAAATGAAAGGTGCAATTCCTGCCTATCTTTCTGCTTCAGATCTGCATTCCCAGTATGAGACCCCTCCTTTCTCAGGGATATTTGGATGTGAGGGCCCACCAAGAGTGCTCCAACTTGAATATGCATCTCTGGCAGCATCCCAGGAATAACCATTTCGGTACCAATGAAATATGACTTGCGTTGGCCATTCCTAACCAGCACTGGTGGATCCTCAGTGGTAATTGAAGTATGTACAACTACTTTTTTCCCCATGGCGCTGTCCGTCCAGCAAAGAGCATGTTTTATCTGTCTAAGAAGTGCAGATATTGATACTATTGACGAATATCCCAAGAAGAAGTTCAATTTTTCTACTGCCAAACTGCATTTTAAAAACCCCATGCTCAGATCCTTGAGGCTTTGATCTGTCAAAGAGTATTTAATCTCAAACATAAGGCATGGATTTTTAGAATCCTGGATCTTACTTCCTTCAATTTTGTTGCAAAATTCTTTCCAATCAAACAACATTTCTTCTATAAGACGTTCCAAAATTGGGACAGAAGTCCCTACAGTACCACTAGCAAAACTGGTTCCACTACTTGTAGAGTATATAATTTGAGCAGGCTCACCCCATAAAGAGGTCTGCGAATCATGAACTTTCTTCTTGGATTCTTTAAGAAAAGAAACAACCTTCCAGGACCCGCAATAGAATGAAAAGGACCGTTCACATATATTTTCGGTGTATCTTACCAAAATCACATCTACTGAAAGGCGAAATGAAAGCAAATCTGGATATGAGATCCCAATACCTGAGACTGGTTTTCTACCAACAGGAGGCTGAAGTGCATTTGCTGGGTTAACGGTGATCAAAAATTCTCCCACATTTAGAAAGAAACAATGCTTTGGGCAGGAATCTTCAGACACAACTCCGGAATTACATTTTGGATGGTCAGCCAAAGAGCTTTGCAAAAAGAAAAAGTGAAGAATTGACTTGAATACGATGCAAACAATACTCCAGATAAAGATCAGAAAGTGAAGCATCTTCCAGAAGAATTTGAATTGATTATTGACGAGTGGATTGTTACCACTATCTTTAGTCCATTGAGCATTTGACGCCACTCTGCAGCGAATTATTCGCCGTGCCTGTGCAATGGCCTCTGCAGGCAGTTTTTTCTCAAATTCAGAAATTTCTTCCCAGTGGTGCCTTACAGATCTTGAAAAAATTTTGTCCCTGGACATCATGATGGCAGATTTTTTTATCATGTTGTCCACAGGATATCCAACTAGTGCAAGTAAATTCTCATAAGCACGGACATAACGTAACCACAGGCAGACACTGTCAACTACTTTTCCCAACGAATATCTCGGAGTAGAGATCAGGGAACTAATTCTGCGAGCAGCTATTTCCCATAGTAGCCTACCATTTCTTGGAGAGTTGGCTTCTTTGGATGATATTGCATTAGATGCTCGTATGATATAAAGATCTGATGGAGAAAATAAGAGCTTTAATTTTGGAACACAGACACTGAGGCTTTTAAGCTGAAGATCTTTCAATTCAACGGAAATCACCAGGTCTGTTAAAGGAACAATGTGGGTGATGCAATCTTTATAATTCGATCCAGTTTCAAAACCTCTGATATCAAAAACTAAAGAGCTCTCACTCCAAGGAACAAAACATGAACTGATGACTCCATTAAGTATGCATCCATGCTTGATAAATTGAGATTCTGCATTAATCTCCATTATCTTCGAAAAACATGAAAAGGGTTCATCTGCGATGGAAGACTGCACCAGCAGATGAACATCATGAATTTGCAACCGACAATGTTTAAGTATAGCATTAAGGAAAGAAGTGGTCCAGTTTCTTGAAGAAATGGTGTCCGCAATCTTTTCCATAGTTGCATGTAAAGCACACCCCTGAAATCCATCAAAGTATCTGTGACCATGGCAAAGCTTTACAGACCATAGAAAAAACAAAATATGATAACGCACGGCCTAGCAAATTGATAATGAAAAAGATAGTGCTGATTGAACTACATTTGATAATCTCTCTACTGATTAGACACACGTTTTTATCACCATATGAACTCAATTACATGGATTTTATGCACCAACGGAAAAGGTTCGTCAACATAAACAAGATTGACCGAAGTTGAAGAATCTGTCGTCTCACCTCCACATTCATTAAGGTATCAACTATTACAGCACAAGACATATCTCAGTAGAAAACTAAGGTTTCAATACTTCGATTAATTTGGACACAATGATTTTTATGTAGCATAATGAAGCAAACATACATTCACAGTGAAAAAGTGTTTTGGGTCAAGTTTAAGCATTTTGACATATGAGTCTTCTTTTTCCTTTAAGATATAGTGCAGTTAACGTCGTAATCATGTTTTCTCTCAAAATTAATACACTTAGACACCAAAATCATGTTTTATTCAAGAATTAGTATCATTGACAGTGAAAAAGTGTTTTCTTTCAGATTAGTTACCGTTGACACTAGAATCGCGATTTCTCTTAGAATTCTTGATTTCTTTATTAGTTTTTCTACAAGAACTAGTGGAGTTAATCCTAGAATCAAGTTTACTTTCAGAACCAGTGCATTTGAAATCAAAATTCAATCGTGTTTTCTTTTGGAAAATACTACCATGAAAAACAAAATCAAGTTTTCTCCTCGAATTAGTGCACTTCACACCAGAATAGTTTTTTTCTTAGACCGGTTGATACTGAAACTATGAACTCTTAGAATTAGTCTATGAATGCCAAAGTTCTAATCCATTCTCTCTTGATATTCTCTCTTTCTCGTTAGTTGATAGTTCTAAATTCCTTGCGGCAAACTGAGGCTACTACAATAAACTCAATACCAATGAATTAGCCCACAACTGAAAGTTGAAGCTTGACACCATGAAGATTCAGCGACTCTACCCCAGGCTTATAAGCATCAGCCTATATTGTGATACTAAGTCACCAACACATGGCTCACAATAAGACACAAACCCATTCTCTTCCTTCTCTAAAACAAAACAATGTCACGCGAATACCTGTGGATCAATTTCAGATAGAACCTTCTTCTTATCCTCCATAGAATTATCATTCGATTTCCGCCTCCGTCCCACCCCACCGTCCCGCTTCACTTCCCTTCACAATACAAACACGAAAACAATAATGGCACACACAAAAATACATACATATATTAATAACCATACATATCGAGAATTGTCATGTACCAAAGTGATAGAGTGACATGGAGGCCGTGAACTGAGATAGTGAAAGCAGGGAACGACCAAGTGGATACGTTTAGCGCCAACTGTTCGACCTTGATTTCTTTGAAAGAGAACCGAGTGGACTCGTCCAGTGACTGGTTGAGGGAGGAAGTGTCGAAGCTTAGGTCCTTCGCGATTCCGTTGGAGCGAAGAAACCCTAGCTTCAGCTCCAATTCCGGTTCTTGTCGCAGCCATGGCCGTAACAGAGCAGCTAGCTTCCGTCTAACCAAGTCGGTTAAAACCATTGCTATACGAAGTTTCAGGTAATGGATTGTGAGCTCGATTGTTGTATTACCATTGCTGAATGGACAAGAGAGAGAGAGAAATTGGGGATTTGAATCGATTTTCTGAGTGGACTGTTTGCGAGGTTTTGGCTTGTCGAAGGGATTGATTGAGAATGGAGATTGGCACCGATTCCCCGAACCGAAGGCAGTAGTAGCATACAAGTGAGGCAAGGCGTTGTTGGATATTATCGAGTGCGGTGCTCTACAGTTGCCGAGTGTGGGGCCGACCGGCAGATTAAATTGCACCACGCACATCACCGCCATTAATCAATGAAGCGTGTTCTCAAATGGACGACCAGCATCATTCGCTGGCCCCCCGTTTCACCTTGCATTTATTTTTCAAGTAAAATTACATACACCCACCATATTATTTTATCAAATCTCTTATGCCAAATTAGTGTACATTATTAAATTAGCACAATAATTATGGTGCACATATATGGCATTATTTTTATTTTTGTCTTAATGCAATGGTGATAGAATATTAGTCACCGCCCAACCTTCGACGTCCCCCACCTTGTGTATGAAATTTATGGAGGGATAGTTGAAATGGTAATAGGGATAAACTGAAAATTTAAACATTCTAAGTTTCAATCTTGGCAACATCATGGGGCTAAACCACGAGAAATTTATCTCATGAATACCCTAATCTCGACATAGATGATCTACTTTCAACCAGATCAATGAAAAAATTAATTAAGAAACATATAAGCTAACCCGAAAACCTTTAACCGTTGGACAAAAAAAAAATACATTGTGGATACAAGTTCTGCTCAACTACTATAAGGTGTATAATATAATACGTTCATTATTATGTTAAATTATTGTTGTATTGCATATTTTATTTTCACTATTCATTCCTCTTATATTGTTCACAGTTCAAAACTTGACTATTTGATAATATTTTTGAATTATTTTTTTAATAATAAGATTTCATTAAAATCAAAATTATATTTGGTTATTAGTTTACATAATGACTGATGTATATTTTTTTGGAAATAATAGTTTTTAAATAAATATTTTGAGCAACTTAAGGATTAAATTAAAGTGGAATTCATAACTCAAAATTAGTGGGATCAAGTTTAAATGCATTATCCTCCGCGAGGAGATGAATGTGATATATTTATTTGTTTTAAAACCATTAAATATTGAATGAAAAATTGTTAAAGTATTTTCAAAATAAAATTTTTTGAGGTTATTTTTTAAAAAATCTTTGTGACTTTTTAGAGAAATTAGAAAAATATGAAGTAAAGATGACATGAAAAGCTACTAATTCAAAATTGGTAACTTTGAATTAAAGACATCAATCAAAATGGTTACATCATTTTATAAAACCATCACTAATACCTTTTGGTTAAAAGATACTATTAAAATAATTATAACTTTTTCATAAAAATTACATTTGAAATCTTTTGGTTAAAATATATCATTTCAAATAGTTGTACATTTTCATAAAGTCATCATTGATACTCTTTGAACCAAAATAAACCATTACACATGGTTGCACTATTTATGAAAAACTACTGGCGAGTCTATAAATAAGTGATGTCCTAGACTCGTAAATCATACCATTGAACAAATTTTATTTCTTACAAGAATTGATCTCTCATTCTACTTCTCTCAATTATCCCAAATCTGAATTTTGTATTAAGTGTTTCTTCTTCTACTTCTTCTTCTTCTTCCTCTCTCTCTGCTTATAGCTGCATAGTCATTTCTTGCTCAATTTGAATTTAAACACAAAATTGAGTTCGCTGGAGTCTTGAAGATTGAAATACTGCATCTTCAAGAATAAAAGTTGATTTATCTTGCGAGACAATAGCTTATCAACCTTAAGCACCGAGAGAGAGCAAATATGTTTTAAGAAAACTGCAATTACACAGGACTTGAATTATATCTAATTTTCTAAATTTTTTATTATCTTCTTTATTGTTATTCTGTATCACTTTAATGGCCTTATTACAGTTTTCATTTTAACATTTTGTTTTATTTATTAGATTGCATATAACAATATATTTAGTATATTTAGATTTTACTACAGTAATTAGTTCTTAATTCTAATTACACACACACACACATATATTTATATAATAAAGTACAATACAATTTAAATGTCAAAAGATAAATAATATGATTTTTGCTATTCACGGTTGAGATATCTTTAAATTTTACTTTAAAAAGTTAATCCAGCAGCTAATATTAACACTCCAAATTTTAATAGTGAAAATAGATTCCTAAGGATGTCTTTGGGGTAACTTTTTAAAAGTGTTTTTAATACTTATAATTTCTCATAAATATTTTTTTTGTTAAAAATAATGCTTGAAACCGCCCCACCAAAACACCTCTACCGCCACTGCCGCCAAGCCACCCCCACCACCACTACCCCCTACCACCATCATCCCCCCCACCATCACCACTACACCACCTCACCGCCACCACCCTCACAAGCCCACTACCACCACCTCCACCACCACCCCCAAGACCATCACCATTACCGTTGTCGTCATCCCACCACCACCATCACCGCCACTGTGAAGACCCTGGTCCATTACCGGACCCCTGTCTTCCAAGGGCAATCCTCCCATTACCGGGATATCCCGCCCTCCACCAAAGGATTTCGGCTGACCTGCGGGACAAACCCCCACAGTAGCCTTTACCTCTGTCCCACATCGGGGAAAGAGTCGTCTCCCCACCCCCATATAAGCCGAAGCACCATATGAGAGCAGGACGGGATATCCCGGTAATGGGAGGATTGCCCTTGGAAGACAGGGGTCCGGTAATGGACCAGGGTCTTCACAGCCACACTCACCACCCCATGTCGCCACCCTCACCACCACAATCACTAGCCCATCGCCACCGCTGCCGCCCATAATCGATTGCTACCACTGTCGTCCACCGCCACCACCCACCACCATTGTCATCTCATTCTTATATTTTATTACCATTACTATCATCATCCCACTATCACCGTCACCCACCGTTAACACCCACCCACTACCATAACCCACCCCCACCACATCTATCACCACCATCACCGCATTCGTCGCCACCGATCGCACTATTGACCAGAAACACCTGTCGTTGCCTACCACCATCATCACTGTCGTCCACCACCACCCACACCCCACCATCACCACCACGGCCACTCATAGATGTCACTACTACCATCGTCACCCAAAATTCACCACTACTATCACCGTTGCCACTTATCACTACGTAATTTTTATCGTCTCCCATCACCACCACTGCCAACCACCACCATTACAACCGGTACTTAAATTTCATTTTCTCTACTCTATGTTTGAGATTTTATTTTGATTGTGAATACAAATATGTTTATTACTGACCTTTTTTTTATTACTCCATGCCTTTATACATGAGAAAATAACTAATACATATATACAAAGTACCTTATAATTCAAATCTCAAAAAATAAATAAAATAACTTTTACTTTTCGCGATTAAAATCTCTTTAAATTTACTTTAAAGTTAATCCGACAACTAATACTAACACTTCAAATTTAATAGGAAAAATATGACTCTAAGGGTGTATTTGGAGTGACTTTTTAAAAATGGTTATAGGACTTATAACTTCTCATAAGTATTTTTTTTTTTAAAAAAAAATTAGTGTTTGGAACTGTCCCACCACCACAACTACCTTCATCGCCCCACCACCACCACCGTACCCCAACACCACCACACCCATCGCCCCATCACCACTATAACTACCCCCACCCCCCACCACTACCACTGCCATCACCCTACCACCCCCACCCCACCATCACTGTCGCTACCCCACCACCACCACCACTACCGCTGCCACCACCTTACCACCACCGTCATTGTCCCACCATCACCTTAACCACCATCACTCCCACCACCTCACGACCATCACCACTACCATCACCATTGTCCCACCACCGCCCACTGCCCCACCTTCACCCACCCCCCACCCCCATGCCTACCACTACCACCACCACCACCACCACCATCACCATCATCACCCATTATTAACTGCTACAACTGTCATCCATCACTATCATCATCATCTTATTTTTATATTTATTACCACTACCACCGTCACCCCACCGTCAGCACCTACCACCACCATTATTGTCCACCATCACCCATTGTTACCCACTACCACAGCTTACCACCACTTGTAGCCTACCATCGTCGCCAACCACTATCACCCACCTCCAGCCTCACCACCACCTCCGTCATTCATCACCACCTATTACATTATCGCACAAAAGTACTCGTCGTCACCTACCACCACCATTGTCACCGTCCACCACCACAACCCACCACTGTCACCGCCACTGTTGTCGCATTGCCAACCACCATCACCATCGCCCCACCACCACCATTACCATTACCAATGGATTTAATTATCGCGATCGTCACCCAAAATCCCCTGCCACCATCACCGTTGCCACCCATAGCTGCCACCACCACCACGGTTGTCGTCACTCACCACAATCATCACCGTTTTTCCACTACCACTGCTCACCCCCACGACAACTGCTACTTAGATCCCCATCTCTCTCCTTTATTTTTGTAATTTGACTTTGGGTGTGAATACAAATATATTTATTGTTGATTATTTTTTTTATTAAGAGTGTTCACCCTACCCTATGGGTAGGAAATATAGTCTTCTGTCTTCCTACTTCCTACCCGATACTTTGCAGAAGAATTTTTTCTTGGCCTACCCTACTCGATCAGGTATGGTATTTCTATCCGACTTCTTACTCAATTAATCGGGTAAGAAATCAGGTAGAAAGTCGGATAAATATTTTGTAGCTATTAATTTTTGGATCATTTTAACAATTCAATTAAATAACATGCACCAATTGAACAACACAATAAATCAATAATACTAAAACTTAAAATAACTACAACAACAATTACAATAAAATATAATAAAACATGAATATCAATTCATCATAACAGTTACATAAATACAATAATAATTATTTTAAGTTTAAACCATATGAAATACTTTAAAATCATAACTACTCTAATAAATCACCAGTTCACCATAAATCATGTAACCTACACAAAAATAAATTCATGTTTTTGCAACTCAAACATTCACAATAATAACAATGTTATAATATATACTATACCACACAAATACTCTTATAATTACTAAAAAAAATATAAAAAAGTTAAATATATTTTTTGCAGGTAGGAATGCAAAAATTGATGGGTATTCCGTATTCCTACTCGATTTTTGCGGCTAGCCGTTCAGTAGGGTAGGGTTG